CCCCAAAACCCCAAAACCCCAAAACCCCAAAACCCCTAATTGTAGAGTTTGAGATAAACTAGAAAACTATTTTTTTAATTTTAAGTATATTATGAATTAACTGAATTCAATTCAAATGAAAACAACTAGAAATGTAAAAAAATGTGCAACAAAAGCACTCAATAAAAGTAATATTGATCCTCCGAAGGAAAACGCAAGTTTCATTCATAATGATAATTAGCATATTACTTCAAGACAAAGCAAAATACGGGAGACTGTTTCGACTTAAAGAAGCTAAGGTGCTACTAATAGATCAAAACCTTAGTAACAATAATAAATGGGAGTACATCTAAGATTTCGCAATAACATTATTTCATCTACAAAAAATCAAAGAAAGGAATCTAATGCTATAGTGATTAGAGATGAAAGTTAGCTTCATCAGCATTCAAGGCAAAATAGCAGCAGAAGTCATTCATTAGGAGTTGAAAAGGCTAAAAAGGAAAAGGAGAAAAAATCCAGAAAAAAATCTCATAAAAGGAAGAAGAGTGGTGGGAATGTATTAATCGAGCAAGAAAATAAAAAAAACTCAAATTTTCTTGATAATAGTGATGTACTGGAGACAAGATTAAGGAGGTTCAATAAAATAGAAGATAAAGAAAACAGAAACATTCAAGAACAATTCTCTTAAAGAAGATAATCGACAATAGAAGTATAATGCTTGAAAGAGGAAATTTTGGACTTGCAGAAAAAGCTATTTGAATGCTAGAATAACTTATCTTAGCAATAATACAAAAATGACTGTGTGAATCAGAAGTATAAAATTTTGAAAGAAGAAAATTCAAAACTCTCAGAGGCTTTGAAACAAGAAGCTGAAAATTCTCTGAAGTTATATGATAGAGGTTAAAATTATAAGATAAAGTACAAATCTAATTAGCAAGAATTAAAATCTCTCAAAGAAGAGGTTAAAGGCCTCATTGATTAAAGAAACGATGAAATCAATCAAATTAGAGAATCAATCGAGCAGTAAATAGAGGAATATTACAAGGAGAGAGATTTTATTACCAGAATATGCTAAGAAATCAATATAAAGGCTTATCAACTGCATAGATTCTACAATGAAAGTTAAAGTTCTGTTAATCACTATAATCCTTAACAGATTGCAAGAGACCTTTTACAGCTTAGTTGCTAAATGGGATAGAGCAGATTAGTATTTTAGGGAGAGGGCAATAAGCATACTGAAATGGTAAAATTGGTATCTATAGTTGAAGAGTAATCTTTAGCTACTTCGAATGATTTATAAATGGATAATTCAATGATAAATCCCAATAACTCAAGATTGCATACACAAACTTATGACAGAGAAGTTCTATGAAAGATGCAAAAAGAATTTGAAAACCAATAAAAGATTATAGAAGAGTTAAGGAAAAATATTGAAGCTATTGATAATGAGAATAAAAATCTCAAAGAGGAGAGGCAGTAAATGTTTAGTAATTAGATTAAATTAGAAAAGACTCAAAAATCTCAGGAGAAAATTATGTAGTTTATGTAAATGAATTAGTAAAATTCCTCCTTCTAATCCTAAATCTATCAAACGAATTAAGATTCAAGGTCGATAAATACTTAGCAGATGGCTCCACTTTTGTTATCAGATACAAATAAGCATTTCCAAAATATAAATAATATCAAGAGTTAGACTGATAATTACAATAATCAGAATTTTGAATCTTAAAAGGATCTAAATAATTTTGTTTAGTCAGATCCAGGTATGAGATATTATACGAATAACAAATAGATAAATGAGTAGAAGTCAGAATAAGAGAGACACTACAAATTAGTTTCTCATGATAATGATACTTTTCATAATATAAATGAGGATTAGCAAAGAATTCCTCCTCTTTTAATATTGAATGATATAAGCGACAAGCTGAATTAAAGCACATTACCAGCTTCAGGATTAATAAGCGGAGTCAATTCAACAACTAATCAAAATAATAACTTCAAGCACAAATTTCAGGTAATGTCTCCAGCTTCAACCCTCTCAATGCAGCATATTTAATTGCCAAACTATTGATCTCCCATTTCAAACACAGCTTCAAATTTCACTTTGAATCATACTAATGGAGCAAATTAAAACAGCGACTATGGCTAAATTCCAAATTAGACACATTAATGGTAACCACAAATACTTTCTAATATTCAGTAAATGATATAAGATGGCAAAACTAGTGGGAGAAGTCATGAAACTTCGACATTCTAGCAGCATTAAGAGTACTTGGAATCATTAAAGGAAGCTGGAGAGGATTCAGAAGAGGATCAATTTAGCAGCTAGGTTTATAGAATTAAAGATTAAAGACACAATAATCATTAACTAAAGGAATAAATAAACAGATATGATAATGCGAGTGGTAGTGGGTGCTATGAAGCTGATCAAAGCTATATTGAAAGGTCAAGATTAAATATCAACAGTAGTAGAGATAGTCCAGTAAAGCCCTTAATGAGATTACAAAATGAATCGTAATTAACTAGCAGTTAGAATTAGTTTGATTCAATTCCTACCGATATTAACCAAAGTTAAAAGAGATATTCTTAAAACAACTACAATACAGACACAATTACTGCTAGTTCATAAATACTAAGTCATAGGACATTCAATTTAAAGAAAGAAATAAATAACTTGGATGAAGAAATATCAATTCTTCAGAATAGTTTACAGAATGCTCTAGCAAAACGAAAATAAAATTGAAACCTATAAATACATACAGTTTAATTAAAAAGATTTCATATATTTGTAATGTTCATTATCTGATTGTAAATTTTCTGGAAAATATTTTATTCTGTGGGGTTTTGGGGTTTTGGGGTTTTGGGG